CCTCGCTGCCGTGTTCGGATCGTTATTGGGGTACTCGGTGCCCTTTCCGTTAAGTGAAACGGGGCCAGGATGAGCAAGGACCGAGGTGAGAGCCCGTACCTTTTTATTATCCACCACTTTATGGATGTAGATGGTTGCCTGGGTGTACTCACGCAAGTCCCGCTGCTGTTGGCATAACAGCCCTTCTCTGCACTCTGGACAGAGTTCTGGGGAGGCACAAAGGAAAAAATGCATTAAATTGCTTCAGCTCCTTGGAGATACCTGCCCGATGCCTCTCGCCGCTAATCCGGAGCGGCTCACATAACCAGGGGCATCTGCCAAGCTCTGCGTTTACCACTGATCCCGTTAGATCTGACCCTTTGTCTGAGAAAGGGCAGCGTCCCCAAGGAGTCGGCACCAATTAGCGAAAGATTAGAGCACAGACAGCGGTAAAAGATTCACTCACCGGGCTCGGAGGTGTAAAGTGCGCTCTCCGGGTCCGCCCCGGCAGCTTGTGTTCGGGTGATTTTGATGACGTGATCCACCACGAAGAGTTTTTGAATCCTCTCCCACTCGCTGGGCCATATTAGAGCTATACTGTGCAAAGGAACAAGAACGTGCTTTATGACATGGAAAAGCCAAGCCCTGAGCTCCTGAGCAGCCTCCCCTTTTCTTTTTAGTCTGTTAATGAAAGAAAAGATGCAAAAATCAATCTGTAACTCCAGCTACACTGGAGGGCCTGTACGCCCAAGATAACAGGGAAACAGTAGCGTGTGATTAGTGATGCTGTAATGCTCCAGTCATGCTGGAGGGATGACGGAGGAGAGGAGCGGAAGGCGTGCTACTTTTAGTTGCAGAAGCAACGCTACGGAGCATGAACTTCAGCCCAGCGTCCAGCGCTCCGGGGGCAAGTCTCATGGAAAGCAAATCATAAGGAAGCCGGATGCTTCCACGCCCCGGTCAAATTCAGGGTAGTTTATTGTTAGGAACTAGCCAAGCTGAAGTAAGCTCTCTTTTTTCCTGACCCAGCATCCTTCGACAACTTAGGTCTTGCCTTGCATGAAGGCTAAGGTGGACTTGAAAAGGCGACTGTTGATTTTGTTCGTTCGAGGGAAAGCATTTGCTCCTCGAGTGGCTGCAGCTCAGGGAGCCTCCAGGAACGTTCCCCGAGGCTCGTGAGAGTCGAAGGCACCCGGCAAAGACGCACGAAGAGAAGAAACTCACAGTTTGGAGTCTTCTTTGGTCATGGAAGCATAGGTGAACATGAGGCCCCCGTGGGGGCAGAGAAGAGCGCTGTTTTCTACCGAGGACACAGGGGTGCATCGCGTCGGCCTCCTGCGCGGGCAAAGGAAAGCGGTTTGCAAAGCTTGGTCAGCTTATTTCATAAAAACCACAACTCTGCAGGCAGCCAAGCAGAAATCACAGGTGAGTATTTACAGAAGGCATTCCAACAGGGAATATTAAACTACTACTGACAAGGAAATCAGATCTGCGTTCCCACGTGCTGCAAAATTACTCTCCTGTCAAGCGGAGATTTCCATCTCCTACCAGCCTGTGGAAACGGGATTGAGTGCTGACCTTTGCCTGTAAGATACAGCTCCAGACAGATGAAAAACTAATCAGGTTACTATCTAATCCGACCATCTGGTTAAGACACGGTAAACAAGGAAATTCAGTTTCCTACAATGTATTACAAGTGATATAAGTCCTGTAAAAATCTCAGCTTCCTTGTTTCCACAAAACCGGCAAACCGCAGGTTTCACCGCACCGGGATTCAAAAGCAAAATCAGCAGCTACAGCCCCCCACAAAAAGGAATAAAAAGCACCAAAAACCTCAAGCCAAGTTACCTGACAAATTTCCTCCATTCTTCTACAAAGAACTGCGAAACAATATACAGCTCATCTGTCTCCTGGAGGTGAAAAGAGGGAAGGAAAAAAAAAAAAAAAGGATCTTTTTTAATTAATCCGACAACAGAGAAGCGATGACTGTTCAGCTTTCTCTGCAGCTCTCATTCTCTTCGAGACCTCAGTGTTTTTACCATGACAACTCCATCCCAGTGCGCTGGGAAAGCCAAGTAAAATAATTTGGGATCAAGCACTAAGTACTTACGTTACTAATCTCGTGTTTATTACAAAGTTAATTCAGCTTCGGATGCAATTACCTTTAATTCACAGCAGGAAACGGTCGTTTCCCCTGGAGCAGCTGAGACTCCCCAGCACCGCGTTTTCTCTCGCCGCGTACTCGGGGTCTAAAGCAGAAGCAGCTCCGCACCCCCATGGGTGCAGGGTGAGCCCACCCCAACCCGCCTCATTTGCTTCACCCATCCAAATCCAGAAGTTTCTCCTTTTGGCAGCAGCGCGGATTCAAAACCACAGCCGTGCACCCTCGTGAGGCAGCGGTTTCAGGATAAACCGTTGCTGTCCTGTCACAACTGATTTGCCATGAGATAGCCTGCTCCTGGACGAGAAACCACCTACACCCTAAGCGCTGGGTGACAAAATCATTTCCGTGCTCACCTATCCTCACCACCTTCCCTGACGCAGATTTCAGAGCTCACTCCATCTTTCCGCAGGAAAATTCAGCACACCTGAGGAATATCTGTATTTTTTTAATCTCCCTTCATCTCCTCTAGATTAAACCTCTCCGCTTATTTTTCTTCCCCAAACCGCAACTGTTTTGGATCAGGAAAACCCACAAAGCTCAAGGGAGAGATCCTCAGCTCCTTTTTAATCATGCTCCCTTGGGAAATTCAAAGGGAGTGGAGGACGTAGCCTCACAGGCTGGAGAGACCCTCCCATTTCGAGCTGACCCATGGTGACGGGCTCCAGCTTTCCATCGCCTACTCCAGCTACAAAAGCAGGCCCAACCAGACACTACCCTTAAATACCGCCAGCAGGACCTGGCAGCTCTCCAGCCCAGCACAGAGCGTTTCCCATTTCAACCCTTTTGGGGCTTCCCGGTCCCGAGACGCGGATCTGCGTTGACCTCAATATTTATTCACGGCTGGAGAAGGCACCCAAGAGCGGCAGGCTGCCCTCACACGTAGGAGTGACCGAGGCAGACACCTGCCAAAGCAGCTTGGCAGGATCTAAGAGTCAATCGTTAATCAGCGCCGCGAGACGTCCAGGAGCCAAGGTGTGGAGCCAACAGCTTGTGCCATTTCTTTTCAGCCGCCTCGAAGCCCCAGGAAAAGTCCTGGTGAGCGGCACACTTGTACCGGGGAGAAGCCGGTACGAGAGGTCTTGCATGACCACCGCTCCTATTTGCGGGGCTTCAGCATTTAGGGAAGCTCCCCCCGAGCTCTCGGCATGTAGGAGGATACCGGAGCGCACGCAAATTTTGTCCGGCCAGCAGCAAAAGCCTGGCCTGCAAGGGAAGGCAGATGGAAGGTGGTGGAAAGCCGCCTCCGTCGGCATGGCCGCACCGTTTCGGTCCTTCTAGGGGTGGATGTAAACCACAGCAGCAATATTGTCGCTGCTTATCTAGCTGACTCCGGGCCAGCGACAGCTATGTTGGCACACGAGCCGCATGTATCTTTAGCGGGGCTGTGTGCCAGCACGGCTAATCGGGGGAAATCACACCTCGGCACAACGCACGTGTAAGCTCCGCTAGCGCAGGCTTCCCGGCACAGGCACAGTCTCACTTGGACCGACTGAATGATTATCAAGCAAGTCTCACTCTTGCGGGCGAAATAAAATTTCTTAGGAGAGGGATAAAAGCTAATAAAAACCTCCCCCAAGCCCCGCTACGTTCCCCTCGTCACACACTCCTTCCCATACCTGCGGCCAGCTGCCCAGGCAAGGTCTGCATTTATCATGAAACAGGTTCTGGAGAGAAGTCTTCTGCTCGCTGGCCATCATCTTATGCAGAGCTTCGTTTTCCTCCCCTTCGCGCTCCAAAATCTGCATGGAACAGTTAATTAGACCACAGCTTCACTTCCTAGCTGCTATTAAAAGGTGACATTACTTTCCTCCGCTGCACTGGGTCGTATTAAAAAGAAAACTAGAAATACGACCACGTATTTACAATCAACAGAAGGGTAACATTATTTGGCAAATACCTTGCACTGGGAACAGCACTCTTTGTTATTTGGGAATTCAGGTGCCTTTGGAAAATATTGCTTGAGTTTCTCCCAGGCTTCCTTTGAAACCACTCTCCGATCATTTTCGGATATGCACAGGTCACCTGCAGAGAGAGAGCCGAGAGAAGGGCTTTGCTCTTGACGCACCCGGCGATGTTTTGCAGCCCTAACTAGATTTAAGAGATTACAGGGTATAAACGCGGGGGAAGATATTCATGCGCTTATCAGCCAACACCACGTCAGCAAAAAAGAGCATAACCAATACACAGGGTCACCTTCAACTTCTTTATCACTTCCTTGTTTAGACAGAAAAGAAAAATGACTTAATTCATAAAAATGTCCTTTAGATTCCAAAGCTCGTGAACCCAAGCAGCTGGTCAAATACAAACAGTGGTAAAGAGATGCTCAGAAAAGCAAGGACAAGCCAAAGCGGGCACAGGGCTACTGTCTTCTGATCTTGGCTATCCATGGCTACATTTTTATGGCAACTCCATTTACCAAGCTGCAGACTAACCCCATGAAACAGCAGCCAGGTGCTTTCTGCACCCCTGAAAAACAAAATTACCGCTCTATAACCTCAGATATCCTCACATGCCCTATCCAAGCACCTCAAAATCTGGAAAGGACAGATTTTGCACCCTAGGTCTGCTCTAGGGAATAACTGGGGTGAGAAGATATGAAGCAAGATTTACCACCTGTCCCCCAGACGACTTTCCTGCTGCATTATTTATCCTGATGCTCAAGCAGCTCAAAAAAAACCAAGAACTGTTTAGCGTGAGGCCATTGGCGCTTGTCATTTTAGCGACAGAAGTAGCAGAAAGGTCACGCTCGGGCACTTGGACACCATGCGCGTGCATGACGACACGCGCTCTGGCCAGACAAACAAGGCTTGACAAACTGGAGAAGGCGAGGGCTCGGGGATCCAACCAGCCACCCGCTTGCAGCCTTGCTGATTGCCAAGAGGAAAACAAAACTGCATCTCCCTGCGAGACAGCAGCTGGGAAGTCAAGGCACGAACGCGCTACGCACAGTCGCAGTGAGAAATAAGAGGAACAGTCGTTGCAACACCGAGATGCAAACCGGATTTGGACGCGGCATGGGAATATTCATGCCTCAACGTGGATTTCCCCAGCAAGAGGGAAGCAAAACAGCAACTGTGCAAGTCGCAGCGCTGAGCGGTGCCCGGCAAAGGGCACGACACCTTATTATCTGCTTTTCTATAGCCTGAAGAGCTACAGAAAGAAGACGGGGAGAAAAGGCTCCCTCCTCCCACCCTCCAGTAGCTCTTTAACATTACAAGCAGCTCCTCGGTCCCACGGACCCATCGGCTTTCCTCGCTCCAGCCAAGCCTGGATTTCTCTCAGCCCCGAAGGGAAAAAAATAGCAACGCTCCCCTCCTGCTTTTCCTCTAATAAACAAAGGTCGGGCCGGACTGCGTCGATGCAGCACTCGGCCACTTGTTCTTCATCAAACATGACCAAGTGGCTCAGCTTTACCATATGAGGAGGCAGGACCAGGCTGCTTTCCAGAGCCAGCAAGGATGGGAAAAAAAAGAAGAGCTTGTACAAATAAGTGCCTTGACACCGCATGATTAATGAAAATAGATTAACACGCTGTTGAGTGAAAGAGGTGGAAAAATCAGATCTGGGTGTGCGGGGAACAAGTGCTTTGCCATCTGGAAGAAGATGATCCTGACTGCTGCCGACCCTGCTTCCCCCTCCCACCATCCAGGGACATGTTTTGGGCACGGACATCAAAGAAGTCTTAACTTGGTATCTGGAAAAAATTATTCGCTGGGGTCGGGCAGCTACCGGAGAGCGAGAAACTGCAGCAAAGATGCAAAGGGACTTCTTAAGGGAACGCCTGGATGGCATTTCTGGAAGCCAGCCAGACCTCACAGATAAAGCGCTGGCTTTTCCAGAGCCTACCATGAACGCAGGAACTTCCTCCACGGCAAAATTAAGGCTCTAGGACCGAGACTACAGATTTACTGATACAATCCAGAGGGAAATTGTAAAGGTGAAAAGGTTGTTTTCCATGAGCAATAGGAGGTTAGCTCAAGACGATGAAGTCTGACCTGCCAGCGGCCCACATATTTAATATTAGTCTGATATGACCCAAAGTCACAGATCAAGTAGCGATCTACCAGCATATTTTCAAAGGCCTATTGGCCTATTTATATCATGTCTGGCTACATTAAATGTTTCACCACCACGCTGCATGCTTTTATTTAACAGCAGCAGCCTCACAGCAACAGGAAATACCGTGTTAAAGGCTCTGAAAAACAGCCAACGCTGAAACACTCTGCTTTAAAATGAGGCTTTATCAAGCCACTACTCTACATCCTTGATTAGCCCTGATGACAGGAGGTGTGTTGCTAATTTATGTTTCTTTCTTACTAGGAACAAGATCGAGCATCCCTGGCAGGGAAATTGATGCCTCCAAACAGGAGCTTGCTAGAACAGAGTTATGCCTGGGAGTGACATACAAGCTAAAAAAAAAAAAAAAAAAGTGAGATTTAAACAACAGGGTAGCCAAGGATGTAGCTAACGAACCGTCACTTAGGAAAACAACTAACAGCAGGTCAAAACCTTAGGTAAACAGACACCAAAGCACAGCAGGTTGGTAAATCGATACCCTTAGCAGTCCCAGCTACTCGTGTTTCTGCAGTTGTTAGGTAAGTGCTCCTGTTTTCACATAAACTGAGAGAATAAATGGATACTCTCCGCTCCCACCTGGACTGATTTACACCGCCTATTTTGCTCCTAATACTTTCAGAGCTTCCAAGGGGCTGCAGATCCTTGGTGCTGCCCTCGCTCCACCACGTCGCCTCGTTAGCGAGAGGAAGAGATGCGCCCTTCCGCAGCCCAGCATCTCCCGCAGCATCCAAGCATCTCTGCCTTTGTACCCCTTTCACCGCCTCACAAAACTCAGACTGCAACGTGACTGCGCTCGCAAATAAAAGCTCGAAGTTTGAGTGTTGAGGAACACCAGGGAAAAAGAAAAGCGCATTTCCTCAGTAACTATTCACGCTGGCCTTAGATGGAGCAAAGGCTACAAGGTTAATGCCTTGGGCAGTGGGCAACAACAGATATATTCAGCTCCATCCCCCGTAGAGACTTACCATGTGGGCAAACAATGTCTTCATTAAAATTTAACTCCTCTTCCTCCTCTCTCTTCTCTTCATTTGATTCATCTAATTAAAAAAAACAAAAAAACAAAAAAAACCCCAAGAAGATTGCACAGAGCTCCTCTCCCAAGGAAAAGAAAAATCTTTGGGGGAAAGGAGCACAGTTGCCTTTCAAATTGTGGCAAAACCCTTACCCCAAGGGAAACTTTGGAAGGAAATTTGTTATTCTCAAATGTCTTGGCCTCCGGGCAGGCGGGATTACAGCCTACAGGCCACGTAGGAGTGCTTTGAAGTGCGTGGAGCACAAGCCCTTCCTTTGTGAGATTACAAAGGACGCATTTGTTACGGCTAAAACGCCACAGGGGTTCACTGCTCCCAAAGATCTCCGAGTTTAACCTAAACACAAGTCTAGGTAAGAGCGCAGGGAGCAGAAACCTTCCTGGCAAAACACAAGCCGGCTCTTTGCCTTGAGGACACTGATCTGAAACAGATGCTGCCTGACAAACTAAGGGGGAGCCTGCCAGGGGTTTGACAAGCCCCACATTAATGTATAAATTATAGTTAAGAACCGTAGCTCCGTAGACAGAAGCGCTGGCCACTGAATGGGACCATCGTAAACACAGCAATGTGTTAAGTCAGAGTCCCTAACGACCTGCCTAACGAGCGGGTTGGCTTGCAAGCAACTCAAGTGTACTGCTGGGAGCTGCAACCTGTTGTGAAACCCAGGTCACCATGGAGGAACGAGGGCTGGTAACGCAGCGGAGAAGCAGCCTTGGAGGAACGAGGGCTGTTAACGCAGCGGAGAAGCAGCCTTTTCTCAGCGAGTGCTGCGGAGGAACGAGGGCTGGTAACGCTGCGGAGAAGCAGCCTTTTCTCAGCGAGTGCTGCGCCAGCAGCGCCAGCTCAGATGTTATCAGGAGGGCTGGTTCTTGCCTTCAGCAAGCCCCAAATCAATGCCCTTAGCTGATCATCCCCACTTCCATTCAAACAAGCTCCTTGCCCTCACTTAGGAAACAAAAAGCTCAACAAAACACCCAGTTTCCAAAGGCTTAAGGAGCAGAAGGCAAATAAACCCCCCCCCCGCCTATTCTCACAGACTCATGATACGGGCATAGAGGAGAGTCTGATTCATGATTTTTTTTTTTTTTTTTCCTAGGCTGTGTTTTGCCAGAGCGGCTTTACCAGCTGCGCTGTTTCATCCACAGACCTTCGCAATAAACATCTTCATCCCTTCCCCAAGGTAATTTCATGTTTCCTCCTCCCCTGTGCTTTCTCATTCAGATAAAAGTGGATGAAAAGATCATGTGTCTGGAGCAGTAATTTTACACAACTTTGTAAAACTACTTATTACCTCATCTTCTTCTCTGGGTACCAAGATCACCCAGCAGTTTTGAAGCTTATCACATAAAAAGCTCCTTAAATGAAGGAGCTTTTTATTTGATTTATTATCCTTCTCTCCCTCCTCATACAAGGGGAGCAAAACAGCTAGAGGAACACCTGACGTGTCTTTTGTTAGGAGGCATCAGTCAGAGCCGGTGGGTCTCGACAGCAGCAGAACTACCTTTGTTTTGTGCGTTCCCATTCATTTTTCCATTACTGTGCTCTGCGTCTTCGTCTTGCTCATTTAATTGCTCCAGGGCCAACTGACGCCAGCTCCGCAAGGATGCCTTTCCAACCCAAAACCCGTCGTTCCTGCAGAGAGAGAACAGCATTGGCAACGCAAAGCGCAAGTTTGTTCTCCTTTGGAGCCCAAACAGTAAAATCTTTAGGAAAAAGTTATTTAAGCACTTCTAAAAAAAAATATCTCTGACAACATTTGAAAGCGTCGGGACTTACATACCCTTTGACTGTTATCTTCAGCAAGTTCGTAACGGTTTTGTAGTCTTCGTTTAACTGGTTTTTCAGTCGCAGGATTCGACACCTTTCTACCACGCAGTCCTTGCAAAGTGCTTTGACTGGGGTGGGGGGGAAGAAGAAACACATTTTATTGCACATGTGGCTGAGCTTCTCGCTGGTTTGAACGAGCTCAGACAGGTATGCACCAACTATCCTGCCTCACAACCGGAGATTTCACATGTAAATGAGGAGATCCCTGGGGTTACTGCCAGATCAGGCCACATTTGAAGCTTAAATAAGCGTAAAACGCTTCAGACGAGGTGCGATCTGTTCCGCTAGCTTCACAGCTCTCCGCTGCTGGTATCAACAGTTTGCAACTCCAGCTGCAAGCCAGGTCACGCCAAGCAACAGAGACAGGAGTCAAAAAGGCACAACAGTTTAGGCATATGCAAGTAAAAAAAAAACCTGGATCATGGGATTTTGCAACCTAAACCCAGGAAAAAAAAACCCCAAACCCTCCTGCAAAGCTACACTGGACCAACAGGAGCGGAACCCCTATGGCTGGGCATATATTTTAATCTGGGAGCAAGAGAGTTGCACCCAGGGAAGCGAGCTGGAGAACACAGTGCATCTGATCCATCCTTCCCAGCCGCACTCAAAGAAAAAACCTGCGGGCGATCTTCCAGTTGACTAATAAATCTTGGCCTGTTTTTTTTTTTTTGGTGTGGGGTTTGGTTTTTTGTTTTTTTTTTTGTTTTTTTTTTTAAACAAAGACTGCCTGCGTCACAGCAGTTTCTGCTGGTTGCATTTCTTCCCTACAACGTCCTAGCAGGAGCTGAGCTAATTTGGTCTCAGTGGGAGTTATTGAGCTCCTTTATAAAAGAAGCTAAGCCTGGGGCTTGGTTAAGGGATACCCAAAGACTGTAGGGGCTGGGCTGACCCCAAAAATCAAAATGCATGACAGATGTGTGCAACACAAGCACATAAGCTAACAGGTACGTGCTTCCCTTGGATGAGGCGGCTCGGAACAGGCTAGAGGTGACAGACAGTAAATGATTTTCTCGGCCCGCACGCAGCCGTGCTGCTCCAGAGCGCGGGCTGCTGGCAAGAGGGAGCACAGATCCGCACGCTCTACAAAACGCTGCCTACGTGGGATCTGTAGGTGCTGCGGGCACGGAAAAATAATTTTCAAGAGTCTGGGGGGGTTGCATGTGCAAGTTTTGTTACTTTCTAGAATCAACTTCATAAAACTGTGCAAGTATTAAGTTTTCTAACCTAAATGCACCATCGCTTTCTCAGAAATACCTCCATGCACCACTCTCCCTAGACAGAACAGAACTCAGGTCTGGAACAGACCTTGCAATCAGACTGACTGTGTTTGTTTGAATGCTAATGTAATTAAGCAATATTAAAAAAAAAATCACCCAGAAATAACAGCACAGCGCAAAAGCTATGCGAAGAAATAAAGTCATGACGATAAAGGATGGCTCAAAATGGGGCTGGGACCGGAACAAGGCTCTAAGCCACGTTCAGCACAGGAGAACGTGAGTTGGCGAGGGCGTTTTCTCGCCCGCCACCTTACCATTCAGCCGGGGCCCTCCTCCGTATCTCCTGTAGAAGAAGTCAGCGACGTACTCCGATATCCTCTTCATAATGGATATTTTATCGGGATGGAGTTTGCCGTGTGAACACAGGCAGGCTGTGTTATCTATAGGTTTCGGAGGAGTAGACTCATCCAGCCATTTCTGCAGCCATTCAAGAGAGATGAAGTCGTACGGGGAACCTGGGAGGGGAAAAACACACAGAGAGAAACAAGCCCGTACGTGTCAGCTAATAATGCACAATACAGCAGATGGTATTTTATAATTATTCTGATATTCAACGGTACTTTTAAACATTAACAGGCTATCGCTGTTTAAATCTCTGCGGTTCAAGTTTTCAAACATCTGATACAACTTCCCTTGTCCAATTCTCATCTCCGTATCGCCGATTTAGAAGACAGGAGCTACGTGAAATTAAGATATGCAAGAACGAGCGGTCATTTCGAATTCAAGCAATCAGTACGAAACAGCCGAGCACTCCAAGTAGGAAAAGGAATGCTTTCAGACTGCTAAACCTTTAGGGGCTTATTGAGGAGTAGTCAAGGAAAGGGGAAGATTTTCCTATCGTCCATCAAGGGACAGATATAATATTTAAATTATGATCATACATTAAAGGCTCTTTCTATAACAGAGCGAGCTGGTCGGGGTAAACTGAAAAATAAAAAGCAACAACAGCAAAGAGACGAGGTCAGTGTTCACCCTGTCCCTTCAGTGCCCAAAATTTCAGTGTTATTCTGGGCTGCTCTTACAATTCTGGGTGAGAAACACTCACACATTTTAGGATTTACAGTGCAAACAGAAACTTGCTCAAATTTTTTAGTGGGAGCGTGATTTTTTTTTTTTTGAAACAGAGCCGCAGGCTCGCCCTTGTTTGCTAAAGGAGAAACACCTTGCACAAAGCCAGGGTTCAGGAGCGGGTCAGCATCTGTACAAGCAGTGAAACAGCTTTGGGCGGAACCCCTGTATCTTGGTACCCAGACCCAGCATTGATTGGGAAATTAGAAGGAGATTAAACCCATTCTGTGCTGGCACGCGGAGGGCAGCTCTGAAACCGAGGGGAAACGTAACCGTTAGTTACATTTATCAAATGAACACAAATCCTTAATGTTTCACACAAAGGAGCAACAGAGAAGCTACAGGAAAATACTTTGTCTTTCAGCTCGCACTGGATCTTTGTGAAACCGGGCTTCAAACCCTCTCTCCTCTGCAGGATAAATCAGCAGTATTTTCATCTTACGCAATGCCATCAGAGATACACAGCCATGACCTCCAGAGAATTTCAACACTGTCACAAATGATTTGCTAGTTTGGGATGAAAGCTGCCTCCCCCGGAAAGTACGTTTTTCTGGGGCAGGCTACACAAAGCTGGCAGAAAACGTGCCTGCACAGCTGCAGAGAGAGTCCCGAGCTCCTGCGGGATCAGACCCAGGCAGCTCCGGGACAACGCTGCCTCCAGCTGCACTAGCAAGCTGCCGTGCCCAGGACGTGCCCAGCAGCAAGTAGTGGGTGCCCTCAGGGCATCCTCAAATTGGGGCGGAGGAGCTTTACCTGCACTTGTAAAGAAAAAAAAAAAAAAAAAAATTCTTTGAGATTTATTCCTCTGTCACGTTAGAAACACCGAGAACAAACTATGCCGTTTCTGCTAAAGGGGAGAGGAAAACACACCGGAGTTGCGCTTGCTGCTCCTTTTTAATGGTGACTCACGGCAGATTCATACCTCCACCACAACTTTGATTTAACGGTGACATTTTAAGACCGCTCAGGCTTGCGGGGACTCGGCAAGATGAGCTGCAACACCCTCCTGTTCCCGAGTTAAGCACCCGTTGTCTGCAAACCTGCGTTCATAAATTGAAGAGGCAGACATTTATGGGAGCAGAGGAGTCTGCTGTTCGGCTACTCGAGTCTCACTGCTGGGTCTGAGCGTTGAGCAATGAATATTAAAAGCTAAAAATCAAATTGTCTAACAGGCTACACAATTCAATGCATTTTGAAGTCTTTAATTGCAAATGTCCTGGAGTTTTTAGGAGCTGCGCATAGTGGAGAGAAATTCCCCACGCTGGATGGACAGATCAAGCGTCCCTACGCTTGTTTTGAGGGAGACAGGAGAGAAAAACGAGGGGGAGGAATAAAAATCCCGCTGCTCATACACGCTAAGGCGACAAGACACAAGGAGTAGCAGGAAAGGATTAACCCCAGTCACTCATCGGACAGACTACGAAGCTTAGACATGGGGCTGGCAGGGATGAACCAAATCATTTCCTGCTGCAGGCCAGGCATTCTCGTACCCTGTTACCTGCCGATTAATTCAGATCAACAGCTCCCAAACTTGATGTAAGTTGGCAATTTGAGACCGGCCAGTTATTCTGCCTCGATGCTACTAACCACTAACAAGACGAGCTGCTCACCGGGCAGAAGAAAACAGTCACGATGCATGGAAGCACACAGGAGACTGACTGATGGGGAAGGAGCAAGAGGGAATTAGCAACGCCAGAGGCCATTAGAATGAGCAAAAAAAAAAGGAGGAAAATAGGTTAAGGCAGAAAAACAAGAGAGGGAAAGCAAATCCTAAGCATGCACACGGCAACAACAGACAGCGATCGCTCTCCTCTTCTGAGCGGGCTGCAGCTAATGCCTTCCAGCGAAGCATTCAGGCCACAGAAGCGAGTTGTGGGTTAGTTACAAAACATCGCTAATCTTAACAACAAGTCTACTACAAAATACTACCACAATATCTTACAGACCAGCTTCAGCGGGTAACCTTTTGTAGAGCTCCTTCACCTCTTCGTGTTTGATTTTGCCTCTGGCCACGCTCTGTTTGCGCATCTCGGCCATTTCGTTGCACCACTCCTCAAACTTGCAGTTATCGCGCTCTACCAGCTCCTGTAGAAAAGCTGTTGGGAAAGAAGAAAAAGCAGTCATTTCAAGGAAAAATGCCAATTATGTTAATTATCCCTGTAATCGGTTATCTGGGGATAAGAAGCAAGCCTAAAAATTCCCCCCACGCAGCTACCGACATACAGGGTCTTTCCAAAAGCCAAGTGCGTTGATGTTGCTCTCGCCAATATTTATGGTTGTAGATGATTAAATGCAACTATCACGTGCAATACAACAGTGCCCAAGAAAATAATTTACTCGGGGTTGACTGCTGTGTTAAGAGAAACCCTGCGCTTGCTAACAAGCTTACGCCGAGCGCTGGCAGTCGTGCGAAGTGCAACGGGGCTTGGGGAGAGGCCGTGGAGCCGGAGCGCAGCAGGACGCTTCGCTGCCTGCTTCGATCCCTCCCTGCTATTCCTCTCGCTCCAGCCATTTCTCTGCCTCCCACCGAAAGCAGCTCCTCTGTGCTGCCAAGGACCCGTCATTCCCAGGGCAGAAGCAAGAGCTTCTCGCCCCACTGATGTGCCTGAAGCCTGTCCCGACACGCAGCCCCACGCGTACGTGTGATCTCGGCGAGAGGGGTCAAGCACGTTGCAAAACCAAGGGCAAAGAGCCCTCAGGAGATGGGAGATAAGCTGGGGCAGACCCTGGTGTCAGAAAGGTGAGGGAAATGGGAATTTTTGCTGTCGCCGATGGAAAAAAACCCAAACCAAACCTCAGCAGGGAGTAAAAAAAAAAAAAAAAGATAAAACACTTCCCTCGCAGGGCTGGTGTAATGGAAGGGGAAAGCACTGCTTATCTGAAGCCTTTTCCTATTTAGCAGTACTTTGAAGAGATAAAATATTTCCAGAAAGGTTAACGCTTGTGCGGCCAGAGAGCACAATATCCATCTTGGGAGATTACACAGCATTAAAAAACAACCAGCCTGACCCCCTTGAGGTCAGAGCCAAATTATGTCTCTCCACCATCCCGGAAAAGCCACTTTTAACAGCATCAAAGCAAAATGCCTCAAATTTACAGTTGCATGAAACCTCCCCGCAACCGCACAGCTCGACTGCTGCCCTTCGCTCCCTGTTCCCTGGCAGGCTTCCACGTGAAACAAAGGCAACCGCGGGGCCGCGCAGGAATTTGGAGCTGGGTGGAGAGGCTTTTGCCGAGTTATTGTTTTGGGCAGAGGGGTAGGAGGAAAGGGAGCGCAAGAGAGCTCAGGAAACAGACTGAAAACGCAGATCTGAGGCAGGAATTAGCACTGATTCCCAAAACTGTGTGGCTTGGTGGGTGGGTTTTCGTGGTGGTGGTGGGGCTGGAAAAGGTTTGGTGCTGTTTTAAGGGGGGGGAAAAGCTGTATGATTTACCCCCTCCGCATCCAGATAGGGGACACGTCACCTCCGCTGTCCTTGCTTCGCAAAAGAGGGAAGAAGGTGGAACAGACCTCCATCCCCATCAGCACCAGGGGCCTAATTAATATTTCTAATTGAGTAGCACGCAATGTGAAGCATCATTAAATCCGCAGGCCAAACCTACAGGGATTTCTGCCACCCCCAGTAATTCTAAAGCAAGACACGAACGCGCTCGTACAAAACTCCTGTTAAGGGCTTGCATCCTCTTATTTTCATGTCATTTATTCTCAATATGGCAAAGATTAAGCACTCGCAGAAGAAACCTGACATCTGTCAGGATTATTCACCTCCAGCACAGCACGTGCACCGCCAAAGACATTTAACCACACTGTTTTCCTTCGCCTTCAGCAACCCGAGCGGTTCCTGTGGGATCCCGGCTGCGAATCCCAAGGCTCCCGCTGCTGCACGCGGCTCCCAGCGGGATGATCTCCTCCTAACCCCTTCCCATCTCGTCTCGCTGGTTAAGACAGCGAGGTCTGAGCGGGCGCAGGGGTGGGATCATCAGGCTAATATTATTTAAGTGCTAGGAAAGCCCAGAGGTTTCACTGGTCATGGCGCTCAGTTGCCGTACGGCACCTTTGGGGGCTCAGGGACAGTGGTCGCAGAAAGGGCTTCGAGCAAAACCCCGACTCCTGGCCCGCATGGAACGTCACAAGACGAGGTGGAGAGGCCAGGAGAGTCAAAGCTCACTCACCTGGTACTTCGACCGTCAGAGATTTCTCCTGGGTTTGCAGCCTGTACACCAGCATGTAAGCGTTGCGCGAGCAGTGAGTCCCCTTCCCACACTTCGGTTTACGAGTCTGGGATTTAGAAGGTTCCGCTGTGGTACAGAAGGCAAAACATAATAAACACACAAGCTCGCTTACTGATTCCCCGTTAACGGGACGAGTTTGCCACCTAGCCGGCTTCCCTCTCCCCACTGCGCTCTGCCAGGCCTCTTTTTGCCAAGCACTGGGCTCGGCGTGAGCCAAAACTGCATCCCAAAGCAAGACCCAAATCCCTCCAGCATTTCTGGAGGCAGGGTAGTTCAAAGGGACTAAAATTAGGAGCCTGCTCTGAACCGCCCTCTACAAGAGCCTTTCTTCTCTCCCCAATTAAACCTCAGCGAGCCAAAAGCAGCTCTTGCAAAAACATCCCTTCTCCCCTCTGCCTCTTGTTCTGGTGTCCCGACACCAAAGAGAGTCAAATCCTCAGGGAAGAAAATCTTATTTACAGGTGACGGCCTAGGTGAGCGACCACGCGCCCTTCTGCTGGGCGACAAAGCTTTCAGGGAGCGAACGGCCACAGAATCGGTCGTTTCAGAGCAGCTGGGGGTGCAACGTAAACTCGTGTTGCAAGAGCTGCTGTTCCCGAACAGACTGCCGGGCAAGAAAAAAACCACTATCTACAGCTGCAGCTTCAAAAATCAACCATTTTTTTTACTGGGGGGAGGGGAAAGGCACAACCCTCCAGTTTGTCCAGGTCAAACTCTAAATGGAACATTGACCTATTAAGAAAAGTGTCTGTCTTTCCCAAATTCTGGAAAAATTCACATGCCTCTCTCACCACACCATCCAGGGGACTTCCTAGACGCTCTTTATTTGCATTTTCTCCAAATATTTTCTAAATTGTTCCCATCTGCGTGGCCAGGCCGCAGGGCTCTTCCCCACAGCAGACCTCTGCTTTACGTTACCGACCTTCTCCTGCTGTCGCATGCGTTTGTAACAAAGAAAAGTCTCAGTTTTGCTTGGAGCAGGCAAGTAACATCAGCACTTCATAAAAATACTAAGGCTCCCAGCCTACAGAGGCTTCTAAAGACACTTACATTCTTCAAGCAGCTTTGTATTCCAGCAAGAACGCTACTTGCCGTTAAGCATAAACCTTGACAAGATCGAGGCCACAGCGGTTTATTTGCATCTTATTTTGCTACGCTGGGTAACTCAGGAGGTTAAAAAGAAAGGCTGACAAGCTCTTATTTCCTTTTGGGGCTTATTTTTCTATCTTACACCACTAGATGTCTAGCCAGCTTCACAGTTTGGTCGCAAGCAAGCAGCAGTCAAACATTAACAGGATGACAAAGCTGCTCCAGTGGCAGCCAGCGTTCATGTACGTCGGGATGAAATGCAAGAGGGTGTTTACTAGCAAGAGAGCTGAAAATGAAGAGGTATCGTGCAGATGCGTGCACAGAAGAAAACGGGAGAGGGAGGCTAATGCCCCACGCCTGCTCGAGGGCGTGCTCAGGTTGACGTGGCTTTACAAGAAACTAAGGGAGCAAATCCGTCTGAGGGTGCCTTTTCATTAAGCTGTTATTTAAGGATGCTTTAAAGCAAGGCACCATTTCATAAAGTCCAATTGCAGCAAAGGACGAGTGTCCTGGTGGGCCAGCGTTTCTGGAAATGGATTGCTTGCACTATAAGTGAAAGTTTCTGGCATTCGCTTCGCCGTTTCCCGATACTGCAAAGCAGCCTGCGCTAAGGAACACTGAGCGACTGCAGATCCGAGCACTCAAAAATGCCGATTTAACGCTGAACCACTCCTATGTATCGACCGCGGAGTGAGAAACCCGCAGGACCAGCCTCAGCCCGAGCTCTCCAAGAAATCAAGACCTCGTCCTGCCCAAGGAACACGGTTATCCGGGGCAGCACCAGGACGCCGGCACAAGATCAGCTGACAATAGTAGAGCACAAAGGAGAAGTAAACACTGCAAAGTAAAAAGGCGGTTTTGGCTTCCAAGCCATTATTTGGATCAATATTTTTTTTTTTTTTTTACGGAGACTCTTTACTGCCTCCAAGTAAAACACCTCAGTGAAAATAAAAACCGTAACGTGTTAAGGAAACCGAAAGTAATCTCGTTATCTGTTCCTAAGCCTCCTTCTGCACACCGGCCAAGGAAGCGGCAACTTGCCTGTTTGATCCCGATAGGCAACTGCTGCCCGAGTTATCAGCGTCTTATCTACCATGTGGCAGGCAAGAGAAATACTGAAGTAGAGGAACTGATCGTGAGGTGTGTGCAAACACTCACACGGGGCTGAAACAAAGAAAATCTGGCTGCAATTAACAGAACTGCCATTTCACACGTTACTCCTAAGACGTGACAGCACGCGCAGGAGCGTTTTTGTTTTAAGAGCATCAGGGCCTCCATGTACTCAGCCTCCGTGTTTTTGGTGAAAAGAGTTATTTTAAAAGGGCACTCACAACTTAAAGGTTTTACCTAGATCTTCCTCAATCCCCAACTGCAGTTTCTTCCCCTCCATCTTTTCTATGTCTTCGTCGTTAAATTTGTACCACTCGCCCGTCTGCGGATCCTTCACGTGGGCGATGTAGTGCCCGGAGTACGCGCTCACGCCGCGGTGTATGAGGACGGCACTAAGTTCATACACGTAGACGCCGTCTGGAAGGAAAGCGGCAGTTACGTAGTGCTCTGGATGAAACAGCACAGGCCTTTTCTTTCCTAGCGCTTAATGTTTTTGCAAGGCAGCAGACAAAGACCGCACTTGAACTTGCATCTCTCCAAGACTTCGCTAAGTAGGTTGCGGCTTCCAACAACCCACTTGGCGAGGCAGTTATTTGAAACGCAGGCTTCAAACAACTCTTGACATAATTTTCCATCAAGAAGAGGATTCAGAGGAGATCTCCTCTCGTCTGCTGAGGTGTGGTGGGTAACGTTAACAAAACACAGCGCACAAAACTCACTTTTTTGTTCCATAAAAGGCTCCATGTCAAGCAGCTCAGAGAAGCCGATGTAGGTGTTGAGCTTTTTCTTATGGCCGGTTTGCCTGTGCAGAGGCAAAGCTTCGGTTCAGGGGACGGCAATAACAGTTCACATCAAAATAACTCCCCTTGAAACCCATCGAGCACCCCCAGAGCAGCTCACGCATGCACTCAATCCTCAATCTCTCAGATCGACGCAGAAAAAGCAGAGCAGATGATTTTCCAAAGAGCTTCCACGCAACCCAGGGCGCTCCCACTTTTAGAGCGCGCGCTTCCAGCGAGAGGCTTACCTGTCAAACACGAAACGCATCAGCTGCAGGTTGAGCGTGCAGGGAAGACTTAGCAGCCTGATCTTCCTGGTGGCGTTCTGCTTGCTCTGACAAGTTTCGCAAAAATAACGATTGTCCCCTTCTAATTTTTCTTCCTGAGCAGGGAGGGGAGGCAGAAAGAAAGGTCTTGAGAGGAGGTTACCACTGAGAAGTCAACCAGCCCAAGCCACTCAACAGCTGGCGACTGAAAAGCACAGAAGTTATTTTAACCTTTTAAGTCTCTACCCAGCTGCTTTCCAAAATAATCTCTTTGTTAAAAATGCATGCTAATAAATGCGCTTTACAGCATGGCCATAGTAGGCTGCTCTCACTTTCAGGAAAATTTTAGACCGAATCAAGCCCTGTTTCTCAGGTCGTTCACAAGACTGTCAGGTTTGCTCTCCACTTGACTGACTTGGTTTATACTGAGGGCTGCGGAGAAAGAAAATAATTAAATCACCCTTTTACGAGCTCACATGGACCAAGTTAATGTACAGCCACATTTTAGCCTGGAAACTACATTCCTCTCGTGCTCAGCCACACAAACATCACCGTGTAAGAGTCATTGTCTACACCTAAGTAGATCCAACGGCAGGATAAGGCCAGAGGAGAACTTCAACCGCGCCAAACAAGGTCACCGGGTTGTTTCATTCGAAGGAGGAGCAGACAAACTTGAAGTTCACCGTTTCAGGATTTTAATGTGTGTACACAAACCAGTCGTTTTTCATAGCAGACGTTCCGCAAGCCGAGCAACCGGTTTGCTGAGCACATCAGCGAAGCCGCTGCCCAGCGGCCAGACAGGTCAGGTACAGAGTCACGTTTCAGGTTAGTTCTGTCCTAAATATTTTTAGTTGAATCCACACCTCAAACCTTTAACACGCCGGATCTTAACTTAAGATCTAGGCAAATTTTCAAGTCAAATTAAGAGCACTTGCAGCTGTTCCCACAGCTATTCCCAGCCCTCCCTAGTATTTTTGAGAGCACATTTTAGAGCAGGGAATGTCTCCTGTTGCTATGCAGATAAGCACCAATATAGAAAACACAAAAAGCAGCCATTCTCCCGGTGCTATCCAGGACAAAGCACACAGGGACTTTTTCCCAACTTTGCTGGGAAAGCATTTTAACTAAAAACGTAACTTTCAAGGACTTTTTAAAGCCATAACATGCGCATGTGCTATGCTCTGGTCCAGAGCCACTCCTTGCTCGCATGACTCAATCCTCATTTTCTGGGTCCACAGAAAAAAAAAACCCAAAACATTTCCTTTTGGATGCATCTCATTGAGACAACTCGGTCACTTTGCTCCAATATCAACCTCAAAGGCTGTTAATTGAAGGAAGGAATTAAAACACCTTGCTAAGAATAGCAGGACTCAAAAACCAATGAGCTCGTACCTTAAGAAATTCTGTTATACAGTCTGTCAGCTGCTTGTGCCCTTGGATGTTTAACTCCAGCTCATAAAATTTAGACACGAGTTTGGACTCCCTGCCACACTGGTTGCAGCTAGAATTAAAAAAAAAAAAAAAAAAAAAAAAAAAAAAAAAAGAAAAGACAAAACACACATGAGGACAGTTCAATGGTTCATGTGTCTGAACTCCCCAGCCACTAGTAAACTACTCCTTGAGCTATAAACAACTTTTTCTCCTGGTTTTAAGTCAGAATTAATGTGGTTCACACCTCTGCAATGCAAACACTCTGCAAAAAGGTGGTAACGGGATAACACTATCTACCAGGAAAGCCAGGAGCACCTGCTTACAACTCACATACACCATTTCATATAATTTTTGAGGTGAAATCCACAGCTTGGAGAACACAGGAATGAAAATACGACACCCGAGTACTCTATTTTCTGGCTGCAGGACTTTACGTTCCATTAACTCACTTGCAGGCTTAATTGGCAAATATACATTAAGGGATTAAAAGCAGCCGGAGAACTGCAACACCACCACGCACACAGAATCAGGAAACCTAAAAGCTAAAAACCTCTTACAAAATGTTTCGGCAGAAGCTTACCTGCCTGCTCCGGCTGTTAGGAGGGATCTTTCCCCGCCTCAACAACTTCTAAAAAGTTTAAACATTTACAGAAAGTTTCTTCCCAAAGACCAAATACTTACACTGTGACATAGGCGTACTCTCCACAGAACTGCTTTTGCACTATGTTTCGAACATCTGGGTTTTTTTGTTTGGATAAAGTATCTTCCAGCAGTGACATGAACAGCTTTGAAAACTCCTGGGCATCCTAGAAGAGAAAGCCAAGTCCATTAACAATACGCCACAGCACAAAGCCCAATCACAACCCTGTCGCTAATTTACTGCAAATTACCCGGAGCCCTACACACAGGCTGCACGGAGGCTCTGGCGTGCACTGAATAGAAAAAAAGACCAGTCGGGAGAACTAAAGAAAAAGAGGATTTTGCCTCAAAAGGAGCGCGAGGCCCCCAGCGTGAGACCACGGCATGAGTTAACCTGGCTCCCGGCCAGCCGCGCCGGGTGGTTTGACTTCTGCCCCGCTCCTCCCAAGGCTCTGGAAGAAAAAAAAAAACAAACCAAAAAACCCCACTCCTGCAGAGCTTTCTATCCCGTTAACGCTCGTTTTTCAAAGCTCAGCACGCAATGCAAGCTGTCCCTGCTTGCATTCTAGGTGAGAAGAAAAATAAAAACACCCCAAAAAATGAGAAGCTGCCCTGCGGATTCGTCCCCTCCTGCAAGGCTTGCAAGCTTCCCCGCACTCATCTCAGGGCCTTCCTCTCCCACCCTCGCTCTTCTTTGCTCTCCTCTTCCGAAAACAAACGGGCTTTGGCCTCTCCCAGCTGTCCTTTACTCCGGTCGGTAGTGACCGCTTCCTTCCCCTCCTGCATCCTCCCGAGGAAACGCACGCCAGCGCTCGGGCTCTTTCTCCACCAACCTCCCTTTTATTTCCTAACGTGTATTTTCAAGCCGTGCCCTTCTCCTGAGCCCTCTTCGGTGACAGCCCCGCAGGACTCGGCCGCAGCGCTCACCCCTCTCTGACCGTGCTTTCTCTGCCCCACACGCTCGCATTGGACATCGGCTGCCTCTCCGCAACCCAACCAAACGTCTTCTCGCCCTGCGAGGGCCCTTCAAGCCCCACTGAACTACCCACCGCCAAGTATTTCCCTGCCCTGGGAGAAGCAGACCGTAAAGCACCTGCGAAAGGACCCTCAAGGCAGCTTTGGCTCCCGCCCCGCACGGTGCCGGGGTCAATCAGGCGCTAACAACGCTCCCAGGGCTCCTCCTGATCTCCCAACGGGAAGGGCCCTGAGCACCACTTCTCCCTTTGTGTTCATACCCAGCAGCAGATCACGGCTCAGAGATGCTAAAATAACATAAAAGGGCGTTTTCACGCTGCTTTAGAGAAGGTAACGACTCGAGGGGCCCGCCTCAAACCTACCTGCTGCTGTCCCGTGTCCAAGCCCAGCGCTTTGACGAACCCAGAGGGATCGATGTATCGCCTTTTGCTGTTCTGCAGCAAGGCGAACAAGTACTGGAGGTGTTCACAAATGGTCTGAGGCTCATAGTCTATTAAAAACAACAGGTTGCACAAGTTACAGCAAGTAATTCAAGGCAAGAGAGGATTGTTCCAAGTAATCCGCCTGTTCTTTGTACGGGTAAATGTAATGATTAGAAATGATACTTTTTTTTAAAAGCTGGTTTAAATTACCACGAGAACCAAAGTGGCTCGTGTCAGTGATGACAGCAACGTCCCAGCACCGGCCAAACATCATAGAAACATTTTGGCTGGAAAAGACCCTTAAGACCATCGAGTCCAACTGTAAATATCCCGGGGTGCCTAACACGAGCTGTGAGCGAACAGTTTAAGCAGCGTGCGCCGATTACCCCGTAGCAACAGCTTCTTTTTTACCCTAAACGGTGAGACATTGTGTAAAAAAAACCCCAAAAAACAGGAACAGAAGAAATCAGGCAGCTGCCCTGAGCCAGCGAGCACCTATAGCACCATACCATACCTAAAGGTACGTCACCCGAGCCCGCTGCATCCGCTGTGCAGGCAATTGGAAGCCTCATTCGTAGCGGGAACCTAAATTTTTGCGCTCCCATGGGACGAGTGCGGCTTCACGGTAGCGCAGATCAGCCCCAACCCGTGTGCTTCCACCCCCAGCACCATCGTTAAGCTGGGGACCAGTTTGGGAAGCAGCCCGGCAAGAAACAAACCCAAATCAGATTTTTCAACCAGACCAGATCACTCTGATTTAAGAAATAACTCGGGTAAAGGACAGTTTGTTCCTAAAAGCCGGGTGATGGACTCAAAAAGAGCTGAGTGGAGATCGGACAAGCAGTCGTAGCTTCACCCATCAATTCTCCCGATAAACATTATCCCAAAGCTGACGCCAGCATGTGAAACTTTAGGAGAAAATGAGCAAAACCACCCACCTTTGTCTTTCGGGATGCCCTCTCCGGCCGCATACTCGCCGCAGGTGCTGGGACACAAGTAGAGGGCTTGTCGGAGCTCCAAGTTAAGAAACCACATCTGCAAGAAAGTGTTCACGTAGCACGTGGCGCCGAGGTTCGTTAAGCCCACGAACGCGTTCTGGCGTAAGAGAGAAAGCAACAGTCGTCACTCGCCGCTGCGGAGGAGCAAGCAGAAATCCAGCAGTTGGGGCGGCCGCTTGACAGCTGTTTGTCGGGAAAACGCCGCTCCGGCATCGTACAAACAGCTGCATCCCAAACTCCCCGGCTACGAGGTGTCACCTCCCCTCGTCCCCATCTTCCCCCAGGGACAGGGAAGGGCAGGGGATGCTTTTTTTGGGGGGGAGGTACCTTCTTGCGGCGCTCGCAGTTGGGGTCGTCGATGTTGTGGAAGCTGTTCTCGTCTATCTCGCCCAGCCAGACGTGCTCCCCGATGCCCACCAGGCAGTTGGGGTTCCCCCGGCAGTTCCTCCTGTAGGACCAGCGCCCACCCCAACTGTCACCCCCGCGGAAGGGACGCCGCCATCCCTTGGGGGACCGTGGGGCATGAGGACAACAAGGGGGACCCCCGTGATGCTAAACGGAGTGAACGGGGTGGAACCGGGGTCCCCCGCACCCCCCAAAAATGGTGGTTAGAGAAGAACCAGGAGATCGCAAGGGATGGAGAACAAGGTGGGGGGGGGGTAAAGGGGGAACCCCAGGGAGCAGTACCGGACCTGGGGAGGTCACCTACGTCTGGGGAGCCAGGCAGGGAGAGGGGCCCCCCACAACCCTGAGGTCTCTTAAATCTGGGGAGCCAGGCAGGGAGATGGTCTCCCACAACCTGGGGGGAGTCCCCTAAATCTGGGGAGCCAGGCAGGGAGAGAGGTCCCCTAAATCTGGGGAGCCAGGTAGGGAGAGGGGCCCCCCACAACCCTGGAGGGGTCCCTTAAATCTGGGGAGCCAGGCAGGGAGAGGGGCCCCCCACAACCCTGAGGTCTCTTAAATCTGGGGAGCCAGGTAGGGAGATGGTCTCCCACAACCTGGGGGGAGTCCCCTAAATCTGGGGAGCCAGGCAGGGAGATGGTCTCCCACAACTCGGGGGGAGTCCCCTAAATCTGGGGAGCCAGGCAGGGAGAGGGGCCCCCCACAACCCTGGAGGGGTCCCTTAAATCTGGGGAGCCAAGCAGGGAGAGGGGTCCCCCACAACCCTGAGGAGGTCCTCTAAATCTGGGGAGCCAGGCAGGGAGAGGGGCACCCCCGACCCGGGGGGGGGGGGGGCCCCCA